TGAGACAGAGTCTCACTTTATTGTCCTCAGTAGAGTGCTGTGGTATCACAACTCACAGCAACCTCCAGCTCTCGGGCTTAGACAATTCTCTTGCCTCAGCCTCCCGAGTAGCTGGGACCACAGGTCAAGTTCTACTTAAAATAAATAAATATAGGGTGGTGCCTGTGGCTCAAAGGAGTATGGCACCAGTCCCATATGCTGGAGGTGGTAGGTTCAAACTCGGCCCTGGCCAAAATAAATAAATAAATAAATAATATATATATATATATTCCTATGTATTAGGAATATGACACTATTCTAGTCACATTAGACAAGTACATTGCTAATCTAATTCATTTTAGATTATCTAAGAGAGAATAGAGGGGAAAGTCAACTGGCAAACACTAAAGAGCCTTAGAATTACATAGCTAAAAGTATCCCAAAGGCATCAGGAAACAGCTCCTGAAAAACTAATTTCCTACATGAACTGCTTCTCTAAGTAAATTGTTCACACAATATAAAGTATAATTACAATTATTTGAAAATGTCTCAGAAATTTGTGTTCTTTTTAAGAATTAAGGTAGAAACTTGGGGCCTTGGGGCCAGGATTCTTATTTTTTTACTTTTGCTTTCCTTTTGGTTTTTATCGCCGGTACAGATGGGGGCAGGTGTTGGGGTAGGGAGAGTTGGTTGTGTTTTACCTTCAGTGGTATCCTCGATTAATATTAGTTTCTCAGGACAAAGTACCATTTCATTCCTTTGTTATTAAGTCCAGTTCCATGACACTTATTGTCTGTAGTAGGTGTCTTCAACGGTCTTCAACTAGGTGAACAGGTTGCTTCTCCATTCATTAAAACAAGGATCGCTATGAAGGCTGAGATGTTATAACACTAGAGGATACTTGTAAATATTTGTGCAAGAGGAAATTTCTTTTATAGCATAGGTGTAAAAGAAATGGATGGACCTGAGATATTTCTGTCTTCCCTAAGCAGGTTTTTTCTGTCCGATTCCCTCATATTTAGCTTTTCAGTTTTAGTAGAATTTGTACAGCATCAAGAAATTTGCGAATAATGGGGTTCATCTTATCCTGCAACTATTCCTGGGAAAGAAACTGAATTTTCAAAAAAAAAAAAGAAAAAGAAAAAGATATTGAATTTTCTCAGTGTGTGTGTGCATCAATAAAATATTTAAGAACACCAGTTGTTTTACTTCTAAACAGCTTTACTGAGACATAATTCACATGAACTATAAAATGCACAATTCAATGTTTTTTAGTATATTCACAGATAAGCATCACCACTGCCAATTTCAGAACATTTTCAACATCTCAGGCCAACACCTCAGACAGAGTCCTATCCTCCCGTAATTTCTCCTTAAATGATCACTAATCTAGTTTCTGTCTCAGGGGATTTCCCTATTCTGGATTTTCGTATGAATGGAATGATGTAATCTATGGACTTCGTGACTACCTTCTTTGGCCCAACAGAATGTTTTCAAGATTTATCTAAGTTGTAGAATGTATCAGTATTTCATTCCTTTGCATGACTGAATAATATTGCATTGTATGAATATACTACTTTTTAAAAATTCATTAATCCACTACTGGACAATTGGGCTGTCTGACTTTTTGATTATTTTAAGTAATGTTACCGTAGACATTCATGTACTAGTTTCTGTGTAGCCCTAGGTTTTCGTCTCTCTTTGGTATATACCTAGGAGTGGAATTTCTGAGTCCTACAGTAACTATGTTTAATTGAGAACTGCCAGACCATTTTACAAAGTGGCTACACCATTTTACATTTCCATCAACAGTGTATAAGAAGGTTCTGATTTCTCTACGTATTTTACTGGATTTGCCTTAAACAATATCACTTTGCTAAAGATGGTGGAATAGAACAAAGAAAGACTAACATCCTGATGACATAGTAGAGATCATACCCGTCCCAGACTGCCTACCTTCCAATTTCTCTTAAGTGAGAGAAGATTACCCCTTTCTCATTTACTCCCCTATTATTTCTGTTCTTATTAACAGCAGCTTCACACAAATCTTAACTCATGTGGTCCTATTAGCACATTTTGACACCGGGACATTTTCAAAAATTTTATTGTATTGAATATGTAAGATTTTTTTTCTATGGAAAAGTCTGTCATCCCATTGTACCCTGGAAAATGTACCTTATTTCCTTCTAATTACAGATCCCATCTTTCAGTAGCCATTTTTCTTAGAAACTCTTTCAGGTTCTTCCTACCACCTTGTGGGTGCTCTGCAAAACGGACTCAACAACTTCATACCTAGAAACAAACAAGTGTTATAGTTAGAACGATTTTTAAATTGTAAGGAAAAGCAATCACTGTGGTGATACAGAATAAGCGGGAATTTATTTTGCCTTCCTCAAATATCGTTCTGTTAGGACAAAAATAAGACTGATGAGAATTAAAGTTTTTTCTTCTTTCTCTCAGTGAATTTCAGTGCCATGTTGACTAGATAATGCTTGTATCACCTATTTGTTTGTTTTTAGACACAGCCTTTGAAGCCACTCAGCCTCTGTGACAGGTTGTTATATACCTTGGTCTTTAGAAAGGTAAAAGAGAACCTGAGTAATTAGTTACATATCAGCTTTTTCCTTTTCTTCCCCTCCACGGTTTTGTTCCAATCATGTCCATTTTGAGGAGATGCTCTGAATATCCTATAAGCAACCTGCCATTCAAGTTGCTGTCTTGTAACAAATGTAAATATCTGTCTCCAAGCCAGGCTTTGATTAATGGGGTTTCTTACACATTTTCATGTACCTAGTAAATCACTACTGGTGGAAAGAAGAACATTACAGAGTCAGGAAAAACTTTTCTGTGTGATCTATTCCTTTCTTAGTGCTTTAATTAACTAATAATACAGTCGGTCAATGTATTTATGGAGTACTTCAGATGCATTCCATTCTGCTAAAAAAAATTATCCTATTCCTTTTAAATTCTTGGTAATATATCTTTACATATTAGTTAGCAGTTCTTGGAATCAAGTGTATATCTTAAAATAAAATCTTAATTATCTTTCTTTTGAAAGAAGTCTTTGTTTCTTATTTAAAGACTCTTACAAACAGCAAAATCATTTGGCTTGTTACTAGGTTGGTTTGAAGGTTTCTTAAAGTCATATAAATAGGAGCAATGCTTTTCTCTCCCAAAATTTTTCCTGTATTTATAGAAGAAAGTTCTTCTTTCTTTTTTAAAAAATTTTTTAATTAGATCATAGCAGTGTACATTAATACTATCATGGGGTACAGTGTACTGTTTCTGTATACAATTTGAAATACTTTCATCCACTGGTTAACATAGCCTTCATGTCTTTTTCTTAGTTATTGTGTTAAGACATTTATATTCTACAATTAGATTCACATGTACCCTTACAGGATTGTATCTTAGTTTTTCAATAATTTCCTATTTTGTAGACCGTATTCATTCAATATTTGTTTATTAATAAACATTTATCAAGGGCCTGATGTTTACTCAATGCCATATTTTGTGTTATACTGGAACAGGCTCAAATCTGTGACACACAGAATCCCCAAAGAGTAACTTTATAAATTACATAAATCCGTGGGGCTGTGCCATCTTCTTCCCTTTCTAATAAAATGTCAACATCTTCTATAATTTTTCTCTACCGATCCTGACAACATATGCTTTTTTTTTTTTTTGAGACAGAGCCTCAAGCTGTCACCCTGGGTAGAGTACTGTGTCATCACAGCTCACAGCAACCTCCAACTCCTGGGCTCAAGCGAGTCTCCTGCCTCAGCCTCCCAAGTAGCTGGGACCACAAGTGCCCACCACAATGCCCAGGTATTTTTTGGTTGCAGCTGTCATTGCTGTTTGGAGGCTGGGCTGGATTCGAACCCACCACCTTAGGTGTATGTGGCTGGCGCCTTAGCCACTTGAGCCACAGGCACTGAGCCAACATATGCTATCTTGACATTAATCTAAGTCTCTTGGTTCATATTCAAACCCCTGGTCAAGAATCTCTTTATACCTATAGTAAAGGGTTGCTGTAAAGATTAAATGGAAAGCATACAGTATTTACTCAGCAAATAGTGAGCAACCCCATCCATATTGGTTACTATGGATCTCAGATTTGTTTGCATCAGTATTCAATAACTTTCTTTTCATCCTGTTGTTTCAACCAGTGACTACTTGATGAACTTATTTATAATTATACAACACAGCCAGGAATGGAACCACGGCACATTGGGATTTCACATCAGTTAGGAGGCACTTATTCCAACACTTTTCCTCCTGTGATCTGTATACTGCAGGGTGATCCAGAAACAAAGGGTTGGTTCTTACCTGGTGACAAAAAATAAGAGAAGATGAAACTGCTATAATGTCAATAATTTAAATATTAAAAATATAAGAATAGATGAAAATGAAAAAAAGAAACTGACTATATGTTGTTTTTCAAATGCGGCCATTTTTCTTTAAGTCTAAATTTGATTTCAAGGTAAAAGCCCCAGTAACTTAACTTGGCATTAAGGTCCTGAAGGTCCCCTATTCCCTTACAGAAATCTGACCTGGAAGCAAAGGGCACACCCTAAACCACACGCAGAGGAAACCCTGGGGTGTTCGCTGTGGCTTTCACCTGTCAGCCAGGTCATTGTGACGCAAATGCTATGGACACGTGGAACACCTGCGGAGAGCAGGGGCGGGGTCACTCCGGGCGGCAGATGCGAGCCACGGATACCTCAGGAGATGGGGGTCCGGGAAAGACCCCTGGGAGTAGAGAGAGAGACTCACTCCGGCATCCCCGCCCCGCCCCGCACCAGGTGAGAACCGGTCGGGGGTCCCACCGGGAGGGGGCGTCGAGCCGCGGGGAGGAGGCCGCGGCGCCCCGGGCGGCGGCGCGGGCACAGAGGCGAGGGCGCGGGCTCCCCCCGGCCGCTGCGCTGCGCTGCGGCGCGCAGGGGCTCCGCCGGCTGCTATTCCGGCTGGCGGCGGTCGCCGCAGGAAGGGCCGGTTCCTGCGCTCCCCCGCCCCTTCCCTCGCCTTCTTCTGACGCTGACGTCGGACGAGGGAGCCGGAGGGACGTTCCGACCACCGCCGGGAGGCTCCTGGGGGCCGGGGCTCCGAGGTACCTGCCCTCCAGGGCCGGGGCGGGGGCGCGCCGGGCGGGCTGCGTGCTGCAGCGGGAGACTCCCGGCATCCGGGGCGGTCGAGGGCGCGGTTAGGGGCTGCCTCCCCTGCCCTCCGAGGGTGGCGGGTGACAGGCGGGTCGCCCCCTCCGGTGCCTGATCCCAGCCCCTTCTCCTTCCCCGCCTCCCCCTCCGGCCTCAGAAGGTCTGGAGGATGCGCGCGCCATGAGAGTGCGTCAGCCCTGAGGGCGCGGAAGGGAAGCGTTCAGGCTCCGGCCGGGCTCTCGCCCCGGCGGTGGGATCACCGGCACCCACGCCACCCCCCCTCCTACGCCGCGCCTCGCCTTCCCAGTGGCTCCAGCCCCCGGGCTCCAGGGTCCTTTCCGCGCAGGGACTTGTGTCCAGGGCTGACTTGTTGACAAGTTCACCTGCCGCAGCGCCTGGTGTTTGCCTTTTCTCTTTGCACGCTTGCCGGTCTTTGGCAGTGGTGGCAGAGAGCAGATGGGTAGCTTTTTATAACCTCTAGAGCCAGGAGGCCTGATCTTGGTCCCCTGCGGGCGAGGTGCTTCACTAGTCTCAGACTAGGCAAGAGCCAGAGTCCCTACGCAGGCCAGGTTCCTGCAAACCCTGGCGCTCGGGTTCCTTTGGGTGCTGCTGACCCCGCCTTTCCTGCCCCGGGGCTGTTGCAGCTCCTGCTTCCTCTAGAAACGAACATATCCTGTTGTTAGGTTTTCCTTTTCCTCCAAGCGGGCCTCAGTTAACCTTTCCCACTGTCTTTTTATTTGTAGTGTCCCAAAGCCCCTTCCTTATCTTTGGGATCTTAAAAGTATCGCGCCCTTTATGCTGGCGAAAGGCATTAACTACCTGGTCTTGGAGAGTTAGAGAGTGTCATGTTCTCTTCTTTTAGGTAGCATAAAAAAAAAAAAAAAATCAGCACAAGAAAGGGTTTTAGCCATAAAAGTAGGTGACAGCCTTAGTAACCGAGATCTGGTAACTATAAAAATTATCAGGGCCTGGGAAATATATCGCCAGCTGGTTTGGGAATGACACTGAAGGCAATAAAAAGGCACAGAAGGCATTCATTGGCCGTTAAGGTCTGTAAATTATGACTCACTGAAAACGTGTTTGTGTACATACATTGCAGTAAAATCTTCCCAGAAAATCTTAAGTTGGTTTCTGTGGCCCTCTGGATAAGATCTGAGATCCCAACTGGGGATGAGGGAGGGGGCAGTTAAATGGGACAAGCTTACTAGTTTGAAATTAGTGTTCAAATTAGACTCAATCTATTCCTTTCTGTTAAAACACACACACAAATGCTCTTAGATGAGTTTTCAAACTGAAGATTTCTTTTTAGGTTTTGGTCTTTATTTTTGATACATTCTTTGTATGAAAGAGTACCGTAGGGACAAAGCCAGTTTATAATTCTTCATGGCTCAAATATTGCTGTTTGGTTTTAGACCAGCAGTTATCAACCTGTGGGTAACCCACAGGAACTGTATTAAAGGGCCACAGCATTAGGAAGGTTGAGACTAATACTATATATTAAATTGTAGGTGTTGCTTTCATAACTGTTTCTTCTTGTATTACATAGGTAAATAGTTGTATTGTTATTAAAGATGAATCTTTGGAAAACCTAACAATTAAGCTACAGAGGGCCATTTGTAATAATGGAGAGACCACTAAAAACTGACTTGAATCCACCACCCATGGACCACTGAAAGTTAAAGACACTGAGTGGTTTATTTTATGGCTGTTTGACCCTCATTGGATACACTTGAGTAACTAAATGCTTTCTGTAAGCATCTTGGTTGTGGTGCATTTCTCTCCACGCCAACCTTCTGAAAAGTATAGAAAATTTTGTTATTCAAAAGAAAAGAATTCAAAATTGCTTCATTACCAAGGTCCTTGACTCAACAGTGCATTTTTTTCAGGTGTGAGCAGTGTTACCAGAGCTAAGGAGGCCTGGCACCTGTGATAGGACAGGAAGGGTAAACCAGTGTTGGGTGTGAACTTTAAGGTTATGAGAACCTCCTGCAAGAGAGGGTGAGGAATAGGATAGGCCACAGGATCAGGAGGACTGTTTCCTCTTTATTAGTTGAGCTGACAGCTGGAAGCTTGAGGGGAGGTAGCAGCGTTTATGATGGATGGTCTGGTCCCTGGTGTCCCTCCTATTCCATCTGCATTATCAGTTTTATGGGAACCATGGAGAAGGATGCTATCTGCATATTTATGGCCATGAGACATAGATGACTAATGTGTACATACATGTCAGTAAAATCTCTCCAGAAAAATCACCCTGCCACCATCCAGACTCTGCCTCAACAGAGCCTTAGACTCAAAAACTGATAGAGGAAAAAACATTTCTTCTCCCTTTTTTTTCTTGTCACCCAATCTGTTACAGTTTTGTATGCTAGCACTGTGAAGGAGTACAGAGGACAAACAGGCTTTGGGTCTGGAAAGAAAAGGATTGGAAGCTCAGCTGTAACACCTAGCTAGCCATGTGATAAAGTTCTCTAAATCACCATTTCTTTATCTATAGAACAGGAGGATCTTTTAGGGTTGTGGTGGGGATTAGAGAGTTTATATAATGTTTTGCACAGTAAATAGGACTCAAGTAGTCACAATAAATTATTCTTTCACATGCTAAATATATGGTATGTGTGTTGGAAAAGGATGCTACTGCTTTACCTGTGAAAGGAAAAGTATTCTGATTTGATTTTGAGTAGTTTAGTTTTATACTGAGACCCGGGGCTTTGTAGAAAATACTCTATGAAATTGCAGGGGGTGGGGGCGGTGTGCAGTCTGTAGTCCAGGAACAAAGCAAAGCTAATTTGTTCCAGTGGGGATAAATCTTCCAGGCCCCTGCCAGTCAAATGTGGTCCACGGACCAGCAGCAATGCCTTCCCCTGAGAGCTCGTTAGGAATGCAGAATCTTAGCCTGCCTGCCCTTCTTCTTACCCCAGACCCACCAAATTCAATTCTTAACTTTCAAGAAGATCCCCATGTGTACATTAAAATTTAAGAAGCATTGATGTAACCTGGTATTTCTCAAACTTTAGTGTCCTAAAGAATCATTTGGGGTCTTGTTAGAGGTGGATTCCCAGCCTGGCTTCCCCTGTCTGCTGCTTACGGAACTCTCATGCCCAGGGTATTCCACAGCTATCTGAGAAATGCTGTACCAAACTATCCAGCACAGGGCTCTGAAGTGAGCCTCTGCCCTCTTCCTTAACAAAGCACTTTGGCAGTCATGACCTCAATTGTTATCCCACTCCTTTTGAGTTAAATAGGTATTATAATCTCCAGGTATCTCATAAGGACTATAGGTATGATTTGCCTTGAATAATGCATATCATTGAATTGCCTTGCAGCCTCTATAAATCCTAATGGACCACTCTTTTACTACTCTAGCATCAAATTAACATAGTCTTCATTTTGGGTTTTTTGGGGAGAGGTCTGTAAGTAATTTTTACAGATACTAATGAAGCTCTCTAGGACAGAGATGACTATGTGTGAGCAGGCATTTTATACAGTCTTTTTATTTATTTAATTTTTTAAATTTCAGATTAATGTAAGGTTGCCAACAATTGGGTTACAGTGTTTGCATTTGTTAGGTATAGTCCCTGTTGTAGTGTCCTGCACCCAGAAGGTGCACCATGTACCCTTACATTGTGCCATTAAGTGGGAGCACACCCATCCCCCTCCCTCTTCCCCTCTCTTTCCTTCCTTCCTTCCCCCTCCCTGATTCTTGAATTGAATTTTTCTCTTATTTGGGTGTATATTAGTTTGTCTACTGGCTTCATATTAGTATTGGGTAATTGGATACTTGCTTCTCCATTCTGGTGATACTTTACTAAGAAGAATATGTTTCAACTCCATCAAGGTTAATACAAAGTTGTAAAGTCTCCATCTTTTTAATAGTATTTCATGGTGTACATATACCACAGTTTGTTAATCCATTCCTGGGTTGATGGGCATTTAGGTTGTTTCTACATCGTGGCAATTTATACAGGCTTTTTATTTATTTATTTTTGAGACAGAGCCTCAAGCTATCCCCCTGGGTAGAGTGCTGTGGCATCATGGGTCACAGCAACCTCCAACTCCTGGGCTCAAGCAGTTCTCCTGCCTCTGCCTCCCAAGTAGCTGGGACCACAGGCACCTGCCACAACACCCGGCCATTTTTGGTTGCAGCCATCATTGTTGTTTGGCGGGCCTGGGCTGGATTCGAACCTGCCAGTTCAGGTGTATGTGGCTGACACCTTAGCCACTTGAGCTATAGGTGCCAAGCCATTATACAGGCTTTTAAAACAAAGCCTTCCTTTTATCTAACTCTAGGTCACTTAAGACAATGGATTTTAGACTTTATCATAAGCAAGGATGATGTTGACTTGGCAGTGTTGGGAGTATAAGCAGTGAAGCAGGAAAGCATACTTCTCAGTGTCTGAAAAGTGGCAGTTCTTCCATCAGTGGTAACCATTTGTCCCAGTGTAAACCTAATGAGAGAGAATGAGTTCATGACAAGTTGGGAAAACCACACCCTATGTCATTTATAATGAAAATCACCAGCCTCTCTTGCTGAGTCAGATGACATCATTCACTGACCTTTGTCCAAATCGGAGAAGTGGGGTGACTACCTTGGTATTCAGTAAGCATCTGTTGTGTAAATACCATGCACCATGCACACTGCTAAATGCTGAGAATCCCAGGGTGAGACCCAGACCTACTGTGCTCTGGAGGAGCCTAGGGCTGCTAAGGCAGGCAGAGAATCCATTCAGCAAAACTAGGGAGGGATGGGGGGAAAAGCACAGGGGCCTGATGAGACTAGGGCAGATGTATCCCATCCAGATAGGACAGAAGGCAGAGAAAACCTGAGAGGGTTCATGAAGGAGGTTACCCTTGAGTTTGAGCCTTAAAGGAGCAATAGTAGTTCAACAGGTGAATAAGGTTTGGGAGTCGAGAGAGACTTACCAACAGAGCATCTGTGTACTAAGGTTTGGAGGTA